TCCACTGGACATCCGTGCTGCTGGCAGCACCGTGTGGTGCCAGCTGTGCCACCACAGCCTTGCTGCAAGTAGCAGCTCTGGGGGCACGGACAGCAATTCTTTGTGGGCAGCCACAGCATCTGCTTCTGCAAAGCAAGAGATTTCAGCAGTCAAATCAAAGAAACAGATGATCTCCCCTTTCAGAATACTTCTTTTCCTTTCCTTCACTGAGGCCATGTTTCATTTGACACATTTGACACTTTTGGTACAAATCACCAGCACTTTGCACCCCAGGAGGAGGCACTGTGAACAAGGGCACGTGTCCAGGCCAGAGCATGCACAATGCTATCAAATAACTTTTATTTGCTTTTATTTATGTTTATTAATATTTCCTTTTCTAAAGTTTGGTGGATATAAGTGTTGTTTCTTCAATGTAAATAGTAAAGATAGGATAAATGCAATAAAAATTGAATTTGCTTAAAACTCAGGAAATACTTCCAGAGAAATATTTTTGTTTGCTTGGTTGTCTGCTCTGGTAGATGCAGATTTGTGGCTATGGATGAGAACTTTCCTAGAGCAGTGCCTTAGATAAACAGTTTACACTTGCTCCCCAGTATATTAAGGCCATTCATTCTTGCCTGCCAGCCAGCCCTAAGTAGGAACTTGGCATATATTTCACCTAAGAAAAAATCCATAAAAATACACCACAAAACCCCAAGGGAAGCAAAGGCTTCAGGGTAGATCCTATCCCATGTGTGAAGGTCTTTCTGTCCCCTGGGCTTACTGACTAGTAGAGAGAAGAGCAATCCATGAGTCTTTCCTTCTTCCAACTAATGCTTTTCTCTAGGTAATCTTAAAGTCTGAAGCCTGAATAAGTGCAAGGACAAAAGCGAGCAAACAGTCCTGCCTGATCCACTCCTGTGTGCCTTGCCAGACAGCTCTGCAGGCAGCATGTGGTGGTAAATCCTGGGGAAAGTGGCCTTAGGGCAACCTGATGGGGGAAATGACTCCAGTCACCCAAAATAAAGGACTTTGCCCCTGCCAAGGAGCTGTGCTCCGCGGGGAGCCCCAGGGAGAGCTGCCAGCTGCAGCTGCATGTCCTCTCTCTTGCCCAGCCCTCCAGTTCCCACATCCTCGATGGGTTACTGCAGCGTGCAGCTCTGTAACAGCAGGGAAGGGCAGCTGTGGGTACAGGACCTGCTCCAGCCCCCCCAGCTCAAGGGCAACGTTGCCACTGGTGGCAGCTGGAGCGGATCAGAGGTACAATGACAAGCCATGGCAGCGGGGCCAAGGCTGCATCGGCAAGGACGTGAGCTGGCGTTGGCACTGCTGAGCAACAGCAAGGAGGATTGGTGCCCAACCCCACACGCTTCCCAGCCACAATGAGCAAATGTGAGGGTGGGAGTACAGAGGGGCTCTGGGGGATGAAAATCCCACAGCAAATAACAAGGCTTGCAAATTAGCCCTACTTAATAAAAATACGTGAATAAATTAACTTTGCCCGCTGGTTAAATCTCTTCAGTATTTCTCTGATGTACCATTAAGCAAACTCTGGCACAGCAGCTTACCTCTCAAGCACATAAGATGACTCAATAATGGGTAACATTTTGTATTTTGCCTTGCCTTTGTCTCACTGAGGAACAACACCTCACAAGAGAGCAAAGCAATTTCCAGCAGCTCTGCCTTCCACTAGTTCCCCTGCACAGGGAAAGCATCACAGCCCAATTCTGCAGCAGGGATGATGTGGCTGCTGTGCTGCACAAGCTGTTCCTGCCAAAGCAGACACCACTGGAACATCCTCTGCTCCTCAGGGCAACTCTTCCCATTTTTGTTCATGGGGTCCTGCTGACACCCCCCAGGGAGGTGAAAAAACAAGTTGCTCACTCCAGGTGTGCTGGCAGGTCCCCTTTGCGCAGCCCACACAGGCTGTCCCAGGTCTCACCTCTGCCACACACTTCTTCAGGCTTAACTCCACACCTCTTGTATCCCCTGGAAACCACTGAGAGCTCTTCTTTCCTGAGCCTCCCATTCCAGTGTCATATTTGCAACAGTTCCCCGAGTTTTGTTTTTCACATGAAAACCTGTGCTCTGGGCTTAGTGGTATAATGGCAAAGAGCCAGCCTTCCACATCCCCTTCCTGCTCAAAACAGATCCAGCACTTAACTACAGATGATACATAACTTATTTGGTGACATCGAGTCAAGCAACAGCACTCTCATGCTAACAGTTTTTCATGGGCATTGATCTCTTAGTGATAAGTGTATCAGCCTTCGGCACGCACACGTTTTAACATCAGTGCAACTTCTGCTCTGAAATAACCATAATGGGTGTCAAAATGAGTTTTTTCTTCCTACATTTAAAATCCCCTCCTTTCTGACACCGGCAGGATGACTTTTCACAGCACAGTGTAACACTTCACAACATTTGTTATCCCCCTTTGTAAGTACCAGATCTCTGTAAACCCCAGGACAAAAGCCTTTTCTGGTTACCACCCAACCCTCACCTCCTCACCAGCACTTTGCAAGGTGTTCACTTCCCAAACCCAAACTCTTCCCTTGAGTATTTCCCCACGGCTACCCCAGCTAAAGGCCCTGCCTGAGGGTGATGAGGCTGCGGAGGCAGATGATGCCTGGGCCACAATCCATTGCCTCCTAGGGCAAATGTCCAAACAAGGGCAGGAGAAACGAACCCTAGATGCAGGCAGACAACAGAGGTTCTGCTGCCTGTGGTTCCCTGTCCGTGAGTCCAGTGACACTGGTGTGATACCCACCAAAGAGCTTTATAAAATCTCATCTTCTGTCTTTTCTGCAAAAAGGAAAGAGGAGACAACTCTTCCTCACAAAGGGTTTGGGATGGCTGTGACTCTGGGGTCAGAGGCAGAGTGGCAATACCTCACACTGATTATTATCCTTTCAAGTAGATGTAATTACACTAATCAAGGCTTGTCTGATGCTAAATTTTACAGTCTAGAAGTGCAAAGTTCCCAAGATTATTCTTTAGCAGCTAAAATTTAGTGGGAGATGCCAGAAACACTAGAGAAGACAGCAAGGACTGCTCTGGTCAGTGTTTCCTAATAAATAGGATTTTCGAGGCTGAAATGGGGTGTTCCAGGAACTGCCTCATTAACACACTGTTCAGCTGCCCTGGCTGGAGCTTCACAGCACCTATATGAAAGACACTCAAGGTGGTACTTAGTCCTCTTAGTCCATCTCTGTGGTGTCATCTACTCCAAGCCCCCATCTGAGCCTGGAGGACACATCTCTAAAACAAAGCCCATCCTCATGCTTGTCCCCAGCACTTCACCATTTCAGCCTCCTCTCCTTGTGCCCCAATCTCCTCTGAAGACCTCGCTCAGAAAGTAGAGAGAGGAACTGGACGTTGCTCAGGGACTTCCTCAAATGCTGTTGGCCGTAAGAAAAAAAACATTTCTCAAAGGTTAATGCACATCTCTTGGCAAAAAGATAAGACTTCCAAGGAAAAACATTTTTTTAAAATATGTGCCTGTTGGAAGGCAACATGCTGCTGGGATGGTTTGCTGGTTGACAGGGCTCCTCTGTTCTCCCAGATATTTTAACCCCTGGCTCCAGATAATTTTGGCTACTCAGTGGACACATGGAAGTCTTTTTGCTTTCCCCAAACGGAACATCACAGGGCATTTTCTACAGAAACCTCAGGACAAAGCCCTCTCATTGCTGCAGAGGCAGAATGGTGCTTGGATTACTCATCAGAACAACAAGGAACTAAGAAACCTGGGGAGATGAATGCACCAGGGGCTTGTTAGATAGATGCCAAAAATAAAAAAAAGAATCCAGATCTACTTTGTTTCAAGCACCTCAGAAGCTGAGAGAATTTGGTGCATCTGGCTGAAGCTGCCACTTCACTTCTGTAATTTAATCTCATTGGGGTGCATTATAGCAAATAATTACCTTAATGAAGACTCTTATGGGAGAAGGGAGGAAAAATAATAGAAATGCTGTGAAGAAATGAAGCTGTGAAATTGCTTTGTTTTTAACCTGGCACTGGCTGTCTGGCCCCCTCGTCTCTGGTTCTTGCCCCTACGGAGGTGCCTGATCTGCCTGTCTTTCCAAGGTAATGTTCCAGGTGCTGTGCCAGTGATGGATTTTTGCATCTGGGATACAATACCACAGTTTCTGAGTTTGAAACAACAAACATAAAACAAGCTCTCAGCTGAGGCAAGAAGCTGTTCCCTGCAGAGCACTGACTCAAAGGTCCCATTTCCACCTACCACTTTTGAAGTCCTCCAGGATGTGGGCCTAAATTAGAAACAAAGAATTGTAAAATCACTTAGGTTGGAAAAGACCTTTATGGTCATCAGGTCCATTGATGAGCCATTGCAAAGTGGTTGCATAAAGTACTCACATGCTGATTTCCACTACTACCCATGCCCATGATGTGCATCTCATGCTCATAATAGTCTTGAATTTATTTCAGTGGACTGAAATGACACTTTCTTAGGTGAATAAACTATCTTATAAAGGCTAGTACTTATCCAGTTTACCCAGGTTTCTGTGCACGAAACCTGAAAGAAAAGCTTCCTAAAATTAAATTAAACAACTCAAATGAGTTTCCCTACTTGCTGCCTGAAGGGATAACCTGGCAAAGAAAGGAAGCGTGCACTTCTTCCAGCATGGATGTGGTGGGGGAAGTAAATGAGCTGTTCCCCCACCCCAACTCCTACATATTTCCCAGTTAGCCTTGTCTAATGCTGCAGATGTCTTCTTAGTCATACAAACTATCTCCCACCATTCCTGGAACAGCTGATGCCAGACCTTCGAGATTTATTTTTTTTTTAAGTAAATTTAGTAAATTTAAAAGTAAATTTAGCCGATTTTTTTCCCAAAATGTGACATTTCACCTTTTTTTTTTTTCCCCCCAAATATTTTTCCCCAGACTCCAAACACTTCTCTGACTCTGGAAAATCAAATGCGTGATGTCACAGCAGAAGCCTGTGCCCACCCACTGCCACAGGTCTCAGGTATCCCTGGGATTTCCAAAGGTACCCTAGTTGTTAATGCAGATTTGCTGCTCTTGTGCTTCCTGAACAGCTTCTTGTAGAGGTGAAGGGCTCTCTTCTCCTCCCAGCTCTCGAAGAAGGAGCCTGCGATTTTCCTGCACAGGCGCTGTGCGTAGGTCTCCAGGAACACGGTGGTGTAGAGGATGCAGAAGAGCAGCCCCACAACAAGCAGCACAGAAGGGCTGGGAGGTGTCGGGGGGCTGATCCTGCAGTGGGCAGAGCTGAAGTTCAGATTATGGGAGTAGTGTCCTTCAAAGTTCTGAAGAGATATTTTTTGAGAAAACTGGAAAAGTTTATATAAAAAGGGCAGGATCTCCATTTCAGCCTGAAATAAAGAGATTTAAAAGTTAAACAATGTATGAACAAATCAAAATCGACTGGTTACTACAAAAACATCAGCCTGGGGGTATGTGATCAACCTGACAGCTTGTTTGGGTGCATTAAGAGGACATTGAAGTGCACATGCACTTCAGGCTGAGTGAGACTAACTGCATAGAATCATTTGGGTTGGAAAAAACCTTCATGGTCCCACAAAGAGATGTTGGATAAGATGATCTCTAGGGTCCCTACCAACTAAGCTGTTCTATGATTCATGATCATCAAGTCCAAACTGCCTGTTGGACCTGGCAATGCTGAATTAATTAATGGTTGGACTTGATGATCCTAAAGGTGTCTTCCAACCGGGACAAATCCATGATTCTATAATTTGGAGTGGGTACGTGCAGCTATTTGATGCACTGGGAGTAGCAATTGGGGTTGTGTCTCTCCCCCCTCCCCTCCAAGCCTGTTATGCTGTTTGTCCAGCCAGGGGCTGGGGAGGGAAGTAAGGATTGTGCAAACAAGGCTCTGAAGACTGGAACCCCCGCACCGCCCGGTGAGGTCCCTGCGTGGGGAGGGACAGGGGACCCCAGCACTCACCCTGTACTTGATGTCCAGGGTGACGGGCACCGTGGAGAAGGCAGCTGCCCTCCTCACCGCCGTGTCTGCCACGCTGAAGGCACAGTGGTCCATCGCCACGACCAGCAGCAGCAGCAGCAGGGCCACCGTGAGGAGCATGGCTTGCACGAGGCACAGCATCGCTTCTCCCCTGGACAGCCTCAAGCCTGTGGGGCGAATGAGGTTTTTGGGTGGGCCTGCCAGCAGATGAGCTGCTTTTCTGTCCACAGCTAAACGCTCCAGCTTCTTGGTGATGTAAAAATTGTCAAAGCGGAGGTTGGTGAGGTAATTTTTCAAATACCAGGTGGACTTAAAACAGAGGTAGAGCATGGAGAAGCCAGCAACCAGCTTGTTGCAGACTTGTACAGAGTCTTTGACCAGTACCTCAACAGCCAAGAAATCCCTCCCAACTTTCTCCCCAGCAAGCTGCAGTTGTTGATGAATCAACGTGCTGTTTTTAAACAATGAGAACTGAAAATGTCCATTCATAGGCAGATGAATATTAATGGAATGAATGGGCTTTTGGCTTGCATCCCCAAACTCCCAGGAAGCTCTATCTAGCAGAGCAGTTGAGTTCAAAAGACTCTCAGAGGAGCTCTTGCAGATGCACTGAATAACCTGCAGTATGGTTCTAATGTTGCTTGTGATGTTGGGGGTTATGTTAACCACCGCCACCATGACACAGGTTGACAGGAGCAGCTTCCGGCCTTGTTTGGTGCCTAACGTAGGCATGATCATACTGAAGACACAACGGGCAGGATGCACCAAGAAAAGGGTCAGGAGAAGGAGCAAACTGAAGGAGATGGCCATTGCAGTGGAGAGATGCCAGGAGTACTCCAGGGAAGCAAACATCCAGTTGTAAAAGAGGCCTCCTATCACTGCTGTAATGCAGGAACACTGCAGAAACAAGGTCCACAGCTCTCTGCTGTTTGCTGGGACAGGCTTGGAGTAAACTGACCATAGGTCTTCTGTGGTCCTGAACACCTTTGGGAACAGAAATTCTTCACAGTAGACCCAGGTTCTCATTCTGTAAAAACAAGTGCCTGGGTGTTAGCAGAAGAAGCATGGAAATGCACTGTTCAGGTGGCTTTCTTGAGATGTTCACTCATGGGTCTTTATAATGTCCTTTCTAAGTGCCTCTGCTCCCACTCTTCTCTACTTCTCTGCTAACATGAGTAGCTTGGACTGAGATCTTCCCTGGAAGCATGCAGGACAGGCAAGTTCCAGGCATTTCTTAAAAGATCAAACACCAAATACAATGTGACTGCTCCTCCTTTAATGCATGCACAGGGAAGCATTGCATTATTCCAGAAAAATCACAATAAAGTCATTCAGAGGGGTCAACTTGTTGGCAGTGGCTAAGAGTGGCTTTAGTAGGTATTTAGAGGACGCTGGAGGGGGAAGGAGGTGGCTCCTGGCTGCTGTGGAAACCGTTAGACCAGCTCTGTAACTGCAAGGTGTTCAACAGGTAAGAGGCAGCTGACTGGAAGTTTCCCCTTAAGAGGAGACCAAACAAAACTCTGCAGGTTTAAGAGTGAGAAATATAGAACTGATCAGAAAAAACAGTTTCACACTGAAGCTCCAGTGCCAGAGGAAATCTCCAAGGATAAGAATTTGGCCACTGCAAACAGGATGAAATGTCCCATAAAGCTATTTAAACGTCTAATGAAAACAAATGCTTGGGAAGGAATATCCTTTCTCAGGCCCCACATCTGGAGTGACTCTCCAGAGGCCATAAAACCTTGGGTGGGGGGAAGATCCTGTCCCCAGGATTAAACCCAGCCAGGTGATCCCATCTCCCCCAGCCCAACAGCAGCCCCAGTTTTCCTTTGAGGGAGAACTTCGACTACCAAAGGAGGTTTTTCAGTGGGAAAAGGCCATTCAACAGCTATCAAGACATCAGAAAGCAGAGGGATTAAAGGAGACACTACATACCCAGCAGCAAAGAGGTGCCCCAGTCTTGCTCGAAAACTCTCCATGCTCCAGTGTGTCACTGCTCTGAGAGAGAATCCTGGATGCAACTGCTGGGAAACCAAGGCAGCTGGCACCAGATAGCCAGGACTCCCCCCACCAAAAATAAAGATGTTTTAAGGCAACTCAGATCAGCAACACTGGCAATTGCTGAAGTGAGTGGGCAAACCTGGTGTGTGAAGCCCAGGGAATAATCCCACTGCAGGGCAGAGCCAGGATGCACAGCACTGCTTGGGCTTTACACTTCTTCTGATCTTACTGTTGTTGCAGAGAAGGCTTATTTTCATGACACATAGCTGAAAAAAAATGACTCAATGACATATGGACTGACGAAGATGGAATAAGCATCACATGGAACCTGGGGTGACAGCATCCCTCATGGGGAAATCAGCTGTCTCATCCCAGCTGACTTCTCCTCCCACTGCCCACCAGCAAGCAGCAAGGCTGAGATTTCTCAGAGAGAAGGGGAACATTTCCTCTTTCAGACACCAGTCATAGCACAAAGGGCATGGTAGGGTCCAGGAAACCATGTACTGATAATTGTTCATCTTTTCTAGCAGGCTGCTGCTCTCTCCTGAAGCCATGAGCTCATGTCCAGGGTACATAAACTGCTCATAGGCTCACCTCAAAGTCCTAGCAGAGGAAGATAAAGCTTCACACTTGAATATTTCCCAGTTTCCTATAGCCATCAAATCCACTGCAAAGAAATCCCTGCCACAGGCAGGATTCCCAGAGTGCTGAGAAGCTCCCAGACATGCAAGCTGGGATGTGTGGTCCCCATGGGACCGACTTGCCTGACCCCTGGGATGTGCAGGGCACAGAGCTCCAGCCACCAAACCACTCATCAGGAGACAAGGAGCAGCTCATGGTGCCTGCTCCTCTGCTATGTTTCCAAAGAAGAGGATCCCTCCTCCTCCAAACAGCTGGCACAGAAGAAACACACACAGCCACTGCCTACCCCCTTGCATGGAGCTCATGGGTTATGGGAGCCTCCCCTGGCTCCCACCAGCCCTGCCCCTTGGCCAGATGCTTCACACTAAGGCACCGCTGAGCCCACTCCTTACAGGGGCTCGCTGTCCCATGCCCAGCCGAGCCCTCCCGTGGGCTGGGAACCACCAGGTCCCCAGGATGTTCTCATGCTCTCCTGGGAGAGAGAGGGCAAAGGGCTGGAGGTCAGCAAAGGGCTGGAGGTCAGCATGGGAGCAGTGGGACAGCAGCACCTTCCCCAGGGGACTTCTGAACCCCACGGCAGCCGCAGTTGTGGGAGGACAAGCCATCAGGAGCCCAAGCGAGCAGAGCGAAACTCTGCCTGCTTCCTCAGCCCCTCTGCAGGCGCCAGACTAGGTCCCACCCACCCTTGCTGCTCCACTCAACAGCTCTGCTTTATTGCTGGAGTTTTCTTTTCTCCCACAGCTGGCAGAGCAGAGGATTCCTCCTGGAGCAGGGACACAGGATGAGCAGCTCTGACTGGCTCCAGCCAGGACGAGGCACCAGCCAGGCGGGTGACAAAGAAAGTGCCACTTGTTGGGAGCATCCAAAGCAATCACTTGCACAGGCCATGAATTAGGTCTTGAATTCCATTTGCAGACTGTAAAGGACCACCCCAAAAAGCCCATAGTTGTATTCTGCAAGATTCAGGTTCTCCTTAGTTGCTATTCTGAGCTTAAACTTCTTTCTTGCTGTATTTCTGAGCTAACTGATTTCACCAGTCCAGGCTACGCAGGCAGCTCTCTGGGCCATCTGGCAAAGGAGAGGTGAAGTCTGTGGGGAGCTGAGCTTGACCAGTAACTCCATACATCACCGAAAAGTGCTTGTATGCAAAGTCAAACCTAGATTTTTCTCTGGCTCTACTCAAAATTGATCTCTATAGGTTGGACTATCTTAAATCTACAGTATCTTCTATTTTATACCCAGAACTGATAATCTCTAGATGAGCTAGAACCACAGGGTCTAACTCTTCACAGGACACAATGAACAAGACTGCTTTGAAAAACAAACAATCCATCCATTCAAAGCGTGTTTATCCGTACAGATACCGGAGAACCTGAGCTGGGAGCAGGACCTCGCATTTCAGTGAAGCAACTGTGACACCTTGCGGTCACATGCTGCTAAAGTACCTCACGGTCCGGCTTCACTTCAGCTCGAACTGCAGAAGCCTGTGAGTGGGAGAGTTTTAGGGAACAGTGAGGCAGTGAAGGTGGAACCGAGGCTGGCGAGCCGGAGGCGGGGGTGTGCCCGCTCTGTCCCCCTGGGGATGCTCCGAGCTGCCTCCTCCCTCCCTGTGCCACCGGGCATCTGGTGCCTCAGCCCCCAGGTGACATGAAGGGGCTTTGCTTTCCTGACAAGCTCCAGTCTCTCCAGAGCTCAAGGTCTACAATTTTCTAACGTGCCTTATTTAGACTTCATAGCACTGGAGTAGGAGAGACAGAGCAGAGCCACATGCCTGCAGGTAGCTTGCTGGAACCAGAAAATGGCAACAGAGGGTTTCAGGTGTGCCATAGCCAGGAAGCACAGCCTGGCTTTGCCTGGATTCGGGGTAGCCACTGAGCTTGTACCCACCAGGTCAGAGATTTTTGCAGACTGCAGTGGTCACCGAGTGGGTCTCAGGGCAGTGCAAAGAGGAGCCTCTTGCCAAGACACCTGCAGTGAGAGAGTAACCCTGCAGTGGTGGCAACGATGGGAGGGGTGTGACCTAAAGGAGCACCTGTATCACAGGTAGAGTAGGGTACCTGAACCATACAGCTTCAGGAAATGGTTGGGTAATGAGGAGAAATGGCTGGCTGAAAACAGGCTGATTTAAGGCTGAAGATATTTCTCTGTGACAGTATCATCAGCAGGTGGTGACCACATTATTCTGCAAATTCAAGAAATTCAGGGTGTGGGAAAGATGAGCTCATTAGCGGTGATGTTTTGCTTGTTAGAATCACGTGCAAATGAACAGTTTACAGTGATACAGAGCCAGGTCATGTCTTCTTAGGTTTCTACTACAGAAATGTAGAAAAATCCCAGCAATGCCCTTAGAGTGACTGATAAAGGATAAATATAAGTGAACCAAGGCTATCTAACCTACAATAACCTGAACTCCCCTTATCATGCTGTGCTTTAAATTTGTTTCAGGGATCTTTTCCTTTATCTCCTGAACTTCCAGCATCACTGCCAGGTGAAAACCAGCTGAGCAGAGCCCCAGAATCACTCACCCCTAAAGACCCACATAGCAGCTCTCCTGTGTGAACGGTTTGTAAAGCAACTTGAGTGCTGTTGGGAGAAAAGCTACTACAAAATGCTTTCCTACTGTAAATAAACTATAAAGATTTTCCTCCAAGTGTCTCAGGAGAACACGTGGATGTTGGTCTGGGATTGGATGGGGAACATCAAAGGAGTAAAGCAGAGATATTCTGGATGTTGAATTTCAATGCGTGAGTGGCATTTCCTGTTAATTAAAATTCACAAGCAGGCTGCTAATGTGAGCGGCTTTTGTGATGGTTGTTGGATTTTTACATTCCTAGAGAAATGGTGCATAGGCAGGCAAAGTTCCTTTAAAACACCACAGTCAATGTTATAGGAGCTTAGTGCAGCACCTGAAATGCCCTTTCCTGGGAAGTTTCATACCTCTACTCACATCACAAACCCTTCAAGAATAATGGCGTTGGAAATTTTAGTACTAGCACTAGAACAGCAGCTCTTCACACAGGCCAGTTCACTCTTGAACCCCAGAAATACTAAATCTTAAAATCTCTGTTTAAAAACAAAAAAAGAACAATTAAAACCCCAGCGTGCCAGATTAGTCTTGCTCTCACAGATGCCTGGATATGAAAAAGCAGAATTAGGTTATGCTGTCATCCTCACACCTTAAACCAGATCCTCTGGGGAGCCCTGGGAAATGCAGAGGCTGCTGATAGACGTGGCAGAAGCCAGGTCTTTGGCTAAAGTAGAGGTTTAGGATCCAGGTGCTCCCCACACCTTTCCCAGGTCTGCCAAGACGCCATTGTGTGACCTTGGATAATTCACTGGTCCCCTCTCTGCCTCAGTTTCTCATCTCAGCACACAGATAATCAACCTTCTCTTTGTGAAATACCTTCTGATATCTGGACCGACAGTGCCACAGACATGCTACAGGATGCTAGGAGCTGTATTTGGAGACTTCCAAACAAGCTTTGCAGTCTCAGTTGCACTTTCATGACCAAGTAAAACCATCCCCAGGGATTCAACTAGGATCCACCAAGCCGGAGCTGAGACTGTCAAATAAACCCGCAATGCCTACATCTGCCCTGGAGCTGGGCTGGATTTTACCCTTTCAGCCTCGAGATTAGACAATCCAAAGGCCCTCAGTGCTCGTGCTCCAGGCTGCAGGGACAGAGGCAGCTCTGTTCCAGTGCCCCACCCCAATGCCCCGCAGCTCTAGCCGTGGCAGGGCAGGGGGACAGCAGAGCTCTGTCCTGCAGCGCTGGGCCACGCAGGGTACAGCTCATCCCCTGGCCCCGGGACAGCCAGCTGGGAAAGGGAACTGCAGGGAGCAATTTTCCCTTCCTCATTCAGCCCAGCTTTGCTCAGGCATGACAAGGAGCATCCATGCAGAGCAGTGCCCAAACCCAGTGTGCAGCCAGCATGGAGCTGGGGACAGTGACAGGGTGTATCGCCAGCAACAGAGCAAAGCAGCCCTGAGGTGCTGGGCCAGGAGCTTTCCCACTGCTCCACTGCCTAACAGGGCTCCGTTCTGCTCAGACGAGGAGGGAAACCTCGCTGCCCTCCTGGGACCCTCTGCCCGAACCAGGGGGTGAAGCTGAGGGAAGGGAGGGCTTTGTTCCCCCCCCCAGTCGACAGAGCAAACAGGATGATGTGGTGTGCTAACAAACGTGCTTTATTGTAAGTTTTCCACAATTATTAAGAATTTTGTTGAACATTAAGGATTTTTTTGAACTTGACCAAAGTTCCACATGCATTTGGTTTTAGTGGCTTCAGTTCAGCCCCTCCTGCCCTCCCCACTCCCCATCCCGTTACCCCAGGGTAATCCCTTGCAGCAGCAGCTGTGGCTGGGGAGCATTTTTTTTAGCCTGCCAGCTCTCCCACTGGCCCCAGGGGGTATCAGCAGCACAGGAGCAGGGGGATGCACTGGATCCCCACCCCAGGGCCAGTGCACTTCACCAGCTCCACCAGCTATACATCAGAGAAACCTTTCTCAGCACAGGGATCCAGTCACTCACCTTCCCTAAACCAAGAATCAGATCCTTTATCATTCAATTCATCTATTTCAATGACTGATCTTTTCAATTAAATATTTCAGATTCTTACAGAAAAAAAAAAATCAGACAAAATGGTGATTAAAATCACAGTCAATTTGCAATGCTTTCATTGAAAGTACCCGAGCAATCCGATTTAAAAAGACGTTAAGAATCAAAGGCTATTGTTCAGAAAAGTCAATAATATTCCAATACAACTTGTCCACTGGCCTGTGACTCAGTGGGTTGCTCATGAGTGAGTCAATCTCACAAAGCTAAGGCTGGCCACATTCACCAACGGTGAAACACCACCCAGGTCCAAAGTTACATCAGAAGTTAATTTGGTCCCAAAGCCCCATCCGTGTACTCAGTGCAAAGAGCCAGACAGCAATTACTGTCCTAGGTTTTCAAAACACTGAACATGTTTGGAAACAAACCGTTGTCTTCCTGTTTCCAAAGCATGGAGTAAGGCACTAAGTCCTATCAACACATCTCCTGAATCATCCCTTCATGCACAAACATGAAGAAGTAGTCTTCATCCTCCATGAGAGACTTATTCATGAGATGGTAATGAGGCCCCATCCTTCACACCCTGCTAGAAGCACCCAGCCACGTCGCCTTCCCCCCGACCAGATTCTGATACACTCACTCACATTGGGTTGCACATAAATTATGCAGTTGCCTCCACCCAGTTCCAAAGGCCACTCTCCAAAACGAGGTAGGGTATCAGAAGCTAGAGCAGCAAAGCTCATTAGCTTTCAAGGAGGGAGATGCATCTACCCAAAGATGCTTAACGCTTACGGGGTTGTCCAGTTAACAACCACCTATGACAGATGGACTCTGGGAGAGCCTGACTGGGACCTGTGGAAGGGGGGGAAAGATCTTCAGAGCGAACAACAAATGGCTGTTGTGACACTGCCCAGTATTTCTAAAACCAAAATTAAGCCAGAGGGTCCCACACCACGTGAGCAGCCACGTGGCTTTCCTCTGCACATACTCTGATGATTCCAAGTCCTAAGTGAGCGAGTCCTTCTCCAGGGGTGGCTTTGTTCATATTTTATTTAGTGCACTTAAAGTGACATTTTCTACAGCTGGCAAGAGTGAGGTGGCATTTTCTGCATGGATGTTGGCCCATGCAGGGAAGGTCCCCAGCTGGAAGATGCTCTTGGCCCATGTGTTCATAGCCAAGCTAAGAAGCAGAACTCCCATAAGATTCATGAGCAACCCAGTTCTTGCCTACAAAAGAAAGACAAAGACAATTGTCAAGTTTAGACTAGACATCTACAGCATTTGAAGCATGAAGCTATTTAAATATAAACATTTTAAAAATGGAAGGCCTGATTGCCATTAATATTAGCAACATCTTAAGCCACAAAGGCCATTCTGCAGATGCTTACCAAGCTTTGATCCATAAAAAGCATTAACATCTGTTTAGCCTCAGGAATGTGAGCAGGAACTGGGACTGAGCCTATTTTTACTCACAAGCTTTATTTCACTGAGCTGGGGAACATTTCCTGCATCCATAAACCTCTGAATCTGAGCTGCTGACACTAGCAGGAACAGGAGCAGGGTTTGTGAGATGCTGAGCACATTTCAAGACCATTTTTGTCACTGTCTGGAGCCATGGTGGCTCCAAATTTCACTGTCAGGCTTCATGCAGGCTCCTTCCATATCCCCATGCTTTCAAACACCGCTGAGAACACTATCAGAACTCTGTATTTTCACTTCACCACTGAGCAAGTAACAATCAAGAAAAATCTTTTTTTAAATGCTCCACTCAGGCTGATCGTTCTCAGCTTTTTCTGTATCTGAAAGAACTTACCATATCCTTGACCATCAAGTGTCCAGAAGAAAAGGCAATTGAGTTAGGAGGTGTTGACACTGGCAGCATGAATGCATAGGAGCATCCTATAGTTCCTGGTATCATTAAATAGAGGGGATTTACTTTCAGACGAATGGCCTTGAAAAACAAAAAGGAAAAGAAATTGTACCTTGGGAATTAGGGGTCACAGGCAGCTGTGTGAAAGAATGCAAACAGCCAGTGCACTGTGCTGAGCTGGATCCCACACTCCATGGCACACAGTCCTGCACCTCACCAACAGCATCTGAAGGATGAGTATCCTTTGGGTCTACATTATGCTACAGGCACTTGCTTTGTTGCTCCCAAGGATTTCAAAGTGCCTGAAGCCCAGGAGCAGGAGAACCATACGGTGCCTGCTGCAGTACAGACCCAACACAAACCTGTCCGAGGGGCAGAGAGAGGAGCAGAGCAGAGGAGCAGCTGGTCTTGCCATGGGACTACCTTACCAGCTCTGCCAAGACCGGCAGAAAGATGATGATAGTGGCTGTGTTGCTGGCAAACTCCGTGAACAAGGCGATGACGATGGTGATGAGGATGACAGCCACGGGTGGCGGCACACCCTCCAAGGGATGCAGACGGCCTCCTATCCAGACAGACAAACCAGACTCCTGCAGAGGCAGAGAGCAAACAAGCTGGAGAGCAGAGCTCCTGCATCCCTGCAGGTGAGCTGCTCCTCTCCTAGAACTGCAAATTACACATGACCTTCACAAGCACCTACGGGCAGTGTCCTTGGGGTACTTAACAGCAAGCAGTTTGAAAGGACTGGTAACTTCTCTTAACCTCCATCATATTGTTGACACTTACTTAAGAGTCAAGAAACTTGACCTTCAAGTGTAGTGCCTCCACAGTTACAAATTTCCTAGAGCCAAACGAGAACCCCAAGTAACACCCTGATAAAGTCCAGCTCTGTTGGGCAAGATGACTGCAACATGGCATGAGCAGCAGGCCTCACCTCACAGCCCTTTGCCATGGCAAAGCCTCCTCCAAGCAGTAAGATGATGTTCCAGGGCACAGTCTCTTGGGCTTTCCTCCAAGTCAGCAAGGGCTGTGTCTCAGTGTTTGGGGCTGGATGAAGAGAAAAACCCCACATCAAACACCCACCCAAAGAGGAGCACTTCAGTCGTCACCTGACAGAACGAGCCTGACGTCAGTGCTGAAGCTTGCTAACTGTGAGTTACTGATAGCTAAAATATACATATGGACTCTCTTAAGCTAGACAATTAAAAGGTCATTAACTTAATATCAGGTCTTTAAAAAAAGGAAAAGAAATTGTAGCACTTAGTTTTATTTGAGGCTTTCTGGAGAGAACATTTAATATCAGGTTCATTTTGTCCCTCTAACAGACAAACATTGTCCTCAACAAAGGAGAGTCTGTGGAAGGAGGACATTTTCTACCATTTTAATTATGAAGATGTCATTAATTTTCCACTTACTGTTCAGCAGCCAGTGAGTTTTATAGTAAAGAGCTTATCTGCTCTAAAGGCCTTCTCTTAATACATGAGCTCTGTCATATGGAAGTATACACTAGCAGGACTGTACTTCACTGAACAAGGACACATATATTTTATCCAGAGGAATAAACATCTTCCCACGTGTAGACAACACAAATGTGCATGACTCAAAGCAGCCAGTATTTTTCCCATAGACCCCAGGTGGTGCTGCACCATCCACAAAGGGCCATCAGCTGCACCTCCACATCAAAACCATCTCTCACTCCAAGTGGCTTATGAATTAATTTGTATCTCACTGCTACTCAAGAGGACAGACCCAAGACCTCAAAAGACTCCTGGTACCAAAACCTGCTGGAGAGTTTGGGCTTTACAAGTTTAAATTCTAAATTATTCTAGGAACTGAGGAAGGGCTCCTATTTTTGAGTATGGACAACTCATTGAGCTCTGCCCTCTCAGGGGTTCACATTCCCCCCTGAGGGACAGGAGCTGTTTGGGAGTCAGCAACCAAACCTCTGTTTCACAACCAGGTCTATTATGGTAGATCAACATCGATTTCAGTTCACTTTGACCCACCACTGCATCATTTCTGACAGCTGCATGAGCAACTGAGTCATCCCTGCAACGGGCAGCAGGGCAGTGGCTGCTAAACCTCTTCTGGCCCTTCAGAAGAAAAGGTTCTGTAGGATCAAATCACACCTTCAAGCCACGCTGCTCCAGATGGCCAGTGCAGCTGTTGTGTGCTGGTGCAGGTCCAAGGGGGCATAGTCTTAGCTCTTGCTCTGTGCCTGCCCTGCCAGAGCACAGACAAGGGCAGAGTCCCTGCCCAGTGGCGTCTCCTACTCACCTTTCAAGTCAAACCACCACTTGAAGGAAGGTTTTTGTGAAGGGAAGAAGAACAGTATAATCACGATGGTGATTCCCGTAACTGCATCCGAGATAAACCTGCCCAAAAGCAGCAGAAACACTTGTAAGTACAAGCCTGTAGAATTACAAAGTTTATAAGAACAGGAATTTACCAAAGGAGATTACAAGTTTCCACCAGGTTTGAAAAAAGCTCATTGTTCTTGGTTCTTTTATTTTTAATTCCCTGTCAAGCTACATTTCTACGACAGGCTGTGAACCCCTTAGAAAAGCTGCCCTACAAATGCAAAAACCAGGATCTAATCCCCACCACACTGATGCTCTGGCCGTTCTGGTTGCAAAGTCATGGTCAGTCCATGAGGGGCTGTGAGGACAAGTTTCCTCATCTCATTGCAGAGAGGAAGAGAGGCAGATCCCAGACCACATTATTTACATCAGCTCTTTGCAAATTGGTCAGACTCTAAGGTGGGAGGCAGGCTCCACCCAGTAAAGAGCTTAAGCATGTGTGTGTTTGTAAGGAGCTACTAACTGATGAGGGAAAAGTCTGTAACTACTTTGCTGTATTAAGGAATCATTTATTAAGCTAAGGCTTTATTAAAAAAAAAAAAAAAAAACCAAAACCAACAAACTATGAAGGTCTCTTTTGTTAAGGAATAACATTCTCTTTGAGCTTCAGCATTCCCCAACTGCTATATCCATTCATCTTCCCAAAGTATGGATTGCACAGGACAGACTAACTTGCCAGACAGACAGGCTAGCACTCAGGGCCAGCTCCTGCCATCTCTCTTCACTCTCCCAAGCTCCAGTGAAATCAGTGGATTGCATAAAATAAAAATCTGTATTTCACTGTAAATGTACCTATAAACAGCATTCCCAACATTAAAACCCTAGGGATGGCCTCAGATAGACACATGTCAACACTTCCCATCAGTCTTCCTCTACCTCCACCAGGAGACAGAAATAATAAAGCTGGCTCTGCTACTTGAGGCTCTGTTTAATTTATTCCAGGAAACCTGAGTAGTAGTCTTAAGCAATACAAGCAGAAACCTAGGAGTCTCAATGACTTGGAAGTGCCATTGAAAAATATCGCAGTGGAATGAAAAAAACCCCTTACCCTGGTGCAAACAAGCTTGCCCAACCTGGAATGAATTTGGGATCCCTGGAGAACAGCATGATTGCAAACATGCAGAAGAAGAAGAAAATCGCCTGTTCTGCAAACCTAAAATGAAAAGAAATGCAGTTAAAGTGATGATGGGCTAAAGGGGTGGATCCAAGGTAAGACAAAGTGTTGAGCTAAGGGGTGGATCCAAGGTAAGATAAGCATCGAGCTCAGGCTACAGCTGCTTGGGTGAGAAGTTAGGGTGGTTTTCTAAAAATAACTACAGTGAAACACTGGAATACCTTTGAAATCTATTTGAAAATTTGAAAGTTCTCTTATTGGAAAATAATAATGAGGGACATGACAGGCATTAGGAATGCCCATATGTCACAAGAGGCACACGTAAGGTTGACCCTCTGGCTGTGGCAAAGAGGAAGGGCCAAACAGCTCCTCATGGTCATTCCTTTCACCACTGCCCTCTGGGATGTCCCTAAAGCACAGTGGTCAGTGAGGGACAACTTCACTCCAATTCAAGCAATGTAAAAGCACAGCTCAGATTCCAGTCAACTGTAAGACAGCAGGAACAAACTTCTTCAAGGTCAAAACCTAAAGAGTATCCCTTAGAGACATGATAAAGAGCAGGGTAAAAAGCAATATAATTCACTATGTATCTAGTGGAGTCAAGATTTAACCAAGACAATGCCTCAAAATGCTGTTTAAAATCTCTACGAGCACAAAGATGGGCATTGAAACCATTGGGAAGAGGCCACTTGAACTGATTTCAAGTTATGGGGTTGCTAATCAAATTGGTAGAGTACAGCTTAATGGACTTTCTCACTGCTAGACCTCAAAGTGGGACTTTGATTCTTTCAGAGACATTTTGCAGGCTGCTCGATAATGTACAAATAAACCAATTTCTTTCATTTACAGCACAGGCACAGACAATTGTCTTTGAAGAACCACTCCATTTTCCACACGACAGCAATAATTACAGGGTCAATAGCATGACACAAACATCACTGAATCTTCACAGCGTTGCTGCGAGTATGAAAATAGTATTTTACAAATGGAGAAACACAGACCATTTAAGGTTAAGTTCTACAGTTTCAAAAATCTTCACTAGCCCTGCTTGCCTAGAACATCAGTGGCTGGATGGATATATTTAAGGTTTGATTCACAGAGATACTCAACTTTTTCTGCTTCCCCCCTTTTTGGTATTCCTCATGTTTCTTTCTGCTGGTCCCCTTCTCTAAAATATGATCCCCATCACTGCAATTTGCACAAAGTTGTTTCCAGAAGACAAGACCTTTGAGAAGCTACAATAAGAAACTAAAAGTCTCTTGTTCTTTCTAACAGAGTTGAAAGTGTTGCTCAGAAAGACTAAGGTATTCCATGACATGGATCCAATCTCTTTCCACATGCTTTCTTTGAGCAGCTATTAAGATTTCTTAAAATACATCCACAATCCGTATATTTTGTATTTATCATATGATTCATCAGCCTCCTCAGCAAGTGCTCCCTGCTTTGCAGAACAGGTATGCCCACACCTTCAAGGTTCTGCCAGCATTGGTTAGTATGTAACACACAGAGGATTGGTTTTGCTCCTGGAGCAGAAAAATTATGAACAGTAATTAAACAACCCAGCATGAACCTTGTTCTTGAGAAGATTTGAGTACAAGCTGCTATTTCCAATTATTCCAGTTAGTGAAGGTGGAAAGGCTAGAATGTGCAAAAAGCAAACTTCAGCAGGTTACAAACACTCCGAGTGCAAACACCTATCTAATTTTGTTTTAAAAATCTGCGTTTCCCCCAGCTCTCCACTCTTAAGACAGGACATTTCCAACCCACTTGATTTCTTCTTCATTTCAGCCCCAACTATAACTCACTTTGTTGGACCCAGTTTCTGATAATCCTCCTTTATCACTTCTCTGGCTCGGGCTTCTGCATCCACTCTTATATTTGACTTTTTTGTTCGCCAGCCCCTGCCAAGAAACACGGTTACATTTTTACATGCCTCTAACATGACTGACACACAGTAAATGCTGCACCTTCTACTGCAGCCTCTGCAGGACTCCTGTGCTTCTCCAGTGCCTGCTCTGCAAGTTTCAAGGAGCTGCACATCTCTGGCAGCTCAGTTTGCATTATCTTCAGATTATGCAGACTAATGACGAAGGTCTTCTGGTGCAGATGAAGGCAATAAGGCTCTATGTTAGATATCCTTTCTCTATACATTCAAACAAAGGAGACCCTGCAGAGGTTAGAAAGTTTCATTTATATTCCGAACCATTTCCTCCAGCATAGGCTGTGATTGCCAAAAGGGAGTCCCAACACTGCAGGATTTCCTCATCTCTAGCAGTTACCTACTTGGGCAAAACAACTAGGAAGAGGGTGACATGGAAAATTAATCTTCATTTCTCAAGTCACTTGCAATTTCCTGGATGCTGCTGAGGATCAACAAAAGCATAAGGAATTTGTAACTGGCCAGGAATGTTAATGTGCTCCTGGCTAAGCCTCTTAGCCCGGCCACACTACCCACACACACTGCTTGATCCTTTGTAGCATGTGCACACAAACAGTATATTCATCTCTTATCACATCCCATGACACTGAACTTGGTTTCTACCCCACCTGTGACCTTGATCAAACCTACAAACCCACTTCCCTGCACCAGATCCATCCACCTGCTTCTGTGGTGCCTGTGCTTCCCTAGCTCATTCACTGTGTCAAAGGGATAGCGTGGCTGGATCTTCTATATGGATAAACAATTGATCATACAGAAGTTCCTGAATCTCAAATAGCAGTACTTGGCCCTTCAATTTCTTTTTTTTTTTGGGGGGAGGTTATTAATCTTCCTATTAGCTTCAGCTCAGTCAGCCTGCACCTAAGCAGGCTTTTAATGTCTTTTGGATTCAAGCAAAGCCAACCCGCTATGGGAGCGATGTCCATCTGCTTGTGTTGTGCTGCAGACAGCAAGGACTTGCCCACATTGAAAGTCCAGGCGCTGCCCCTGAGCCCTTAGAGTCCAAGCAGCCCAAAACCTCCTGCAGCCCCTCGGCTGTACTCGTGCAGCTCTGCAGCGTCTCTTCCCTGCCGCTGGGGAATACTGGTATCTGTGCTGCCCCAGCTATCCCAGTAAAGCTGGGCTCTGTGCTCACAGAGACAAGCCAAACAAAACAAGAAGCATCACGTTCTCTGAGCACAAGAGCAATTCTGCATTTTGGTAGGGGCTTTGGCCAGCACAGCTACCTCTTCCCTCTGACCATCCAGGGCCATGCCAGCAGAACACCCAGGCTGTGCCCCAGCCCTCACTGAAGGACCCAGGAATCCAGGCTCCACATCTCACAAGTGCTGGGCACGCAGAGCATCCCATGGCAGCAGAGTCTCGCACGAAGCCGTTTAAGGACCAGCATTTGGCATTTTTTGGATTGAAACTTTCCCATTCAGTCTTTCCTGTCTCTGAGACAATGTAAATATTTGGACACCTGTTCCTGTTTGTTTTTGTTTCCCCTCTTCTATTTCCATTTTAAACTCAAAATAACAATTAAAGACTTTTCTAAATATTAGAAATTCTGTATGGTCCCTGGAGGAAGCAGGACCATGAGTTTGTTACTATCACATATGAATGAGTGAGCAGGGGGAGAAAAGGCTCCAAATGAACCAGCACAGCAATGCTGCAACCATTTTAAGTGGTGTACACCAGAGGTTGCATGTATCCAGCAAAGATTCACCAGAAAAACATGTTATTCTAAGTTACAGATTAACACATTGTTGTAAAATTAAGCCCTGTTGTGAAGTATTCCAAACCCAAGTTTCTGTCCCAGGAACAAGTCCTGCCTCTCTTATGTTCTAGGAGACTTTTGATACTAATTCCAAAGAAACCAAGATTTCATGCTGGTCTTCAAAGTCTGAATCTATTGTCAATGATAATTGACCTGCCACTGGTATATACTGCCCAGATCAGGGAGTAAAACAGCTTTTAAAAATTGTATATTTAACTGAATGAATATATAATACATACTCTGCACATATAGGAATGTTACCTAACTGAAATAATATGAGATACCCTTAAAACCTTCCTGTTGCATATCAGCTTCTTAAAAGCATGATCTGAAGTTAGTTATGAAACTAACTTCATGATCTGAAGCATCTTGAAGTTAGTTATGAAACCCCACACTGTCCAGAAGATGAACTCAAGTGATGTAAGTAGATTTAGTATGAAAACCGTGATGCACATGTATTGGGTATAACTACTCTACAAATATGTATAGTGAATATAAACATACCTTAGGTTAATTCCTCCATACAGGATGGAGATCCACAGCCATCCCAGGAGAAGAAAAATCAGCATTAAAGGAAATGCAAACATAAACCAAGAACCAAAGTTCACCACATCACATTCTGGAAAATAACTAAGCAAATGGGAAAAATCAAGTTAATTCAAGAAGGGAAAACAGCCCTTCAATTTAAGGGTAAACAAACATCTAAGATCAGCAGCAAAACATCCTACAAACTTGCCAGTGTGCATTGAAAAGAATTCCTCCATGTGCATTAGCAGTTACCTGGACACTAGGAGAGACGGGGAGCATTGTGTTGGGACAACCCCCCAAGCCATCCTGCCATCCCCAGCTCACCCAGCCCAGCTCTGCAGCCTCCATGAGAAGATCTGAAGTGCTCCCTCCAGATGGCTGATGCTCTCATACCATGATGCTCCTGAACACCCTGGATTAAATCCTGCTACAGTACCTGCTGGAGAATCTGAGCACGGACCTCACAGGGATTACTTGTAGAAGCCAGCAAAGAAATGTCTACAGGCACTTAGGATGGCACAAATTTCTATTTCTATGCACACAGGAGGCATCTTTTATGACTAAGAAAATAGGCCAGAAGTAGTGGGTTCCTTATCTTCCTCTCTACCACACACAGAATTGCTCACAAAACGCTACAAAGCCTGTCTCATCAAAACAGTTCCCAGACTAATTATGAACATGGGGTGAAGTCCCAGTAAAATCCATGGGATTAAAAGCATCAGTAAGGTGAAGCACCAGCTGGGCTGCCAGCATGGCTGTGCACACTGGAAACCTGCCGATACCGCTCCCTGCTTTCATCTGCTCCCAAAGTTCCAAAATGTTCTGGGAAGACATAAATTTTCCACGCTAGCTCTCAGCACAGAAAGGAATTTCCTACAGGGACAGAGAACATGTCTCTGTTTTCCAGGATTTACGAGGCTCTCCAGGATGCCTCCCATACCTCTTCAGCTGTCCCAGAAGGATGAGGTTTGGTGCGGTTCCCGTCAGCGTTGCAGTACCTCCAATGCTCGCCGCATAGGGGATTGAGATGAGGAAACCTTTCCATATATTTGTTTTGTATTCCTCCTCCTTCTTTAAGTCTGAGAGAGCATCGCTGGCAACCTCCTTCTCCTCCGTCAGATCTTTGCTTTAAAACAGTCCAAAAGAGAATCCGGTGAAAGTCCTGGTTTAAACACAGCGCAGCCACTTCAGAGCCTTGACAGAAGGAAAATTCCCAGTTTTTAGAAATCCAAGCTAATGCTGCCCTCGAGGACACTTAAGCAGCCCAGTGCAGCAGAGGGGTCTGCTTGGTGAACTGCCAGCAGGACCAGCAGCCTTGCAGAGGGCAGAGCACCCTCAGCACCCATCCATAGGAGCTGAGGGTGCACATGCCTTGCCCAGCCCCTCAGCAACTTGTAACACTAAGTTAAAACTGCTAAAAGGAAAAAAAAAAAAAATCGATAGCACTGAGAGGAAAGAAATATCTGTTCCTGAAAAGATGCTTCCTTCCCATCATTGTTATCAAGGCAGGACCATCACCAGTGTGTAAATCCTGGTGGGCTTTACAGCACTGGCTTCACACATTTGATGTTCCTGAAAAAAAAACAAGGCACAATTCCCCAGCAGGAGACACTTCTGGCTACCATTTCAGAGTGGCTGGAAAATCTCTGCAATGATTTGAGAATGCAGAGGGATGCTGGATACACAGAGGAGGGTTTCTGTCATCAGGCTGCTAGTGATTGGGACATTGGGCATAATCAAAACATTGCAATGACTGGATTCCAAATTCCCTGAAACTCGATCTAGCTCAGGGGATAATTCTCTCTCTCAACTAATACAAACTTTATAGTTAACTTACTCCTCAGTACTTGCCAGAAACTGCATCTCAGTTGGTACAGTGTAAAGTTTATTCTGCTGTAAAGATGCTGAAAAAGAAAGATGAGGACTTTAAAACAGTTCAAAGCATCTAGAATATTCTCCTTGAGCTAAGCAGAGGAAGGGAGGACACAACTGCCATTTCCAGAGGAGGGCCTGTGCAAACGAAGGCCAGCTCACACCCAGGGGACAGGGTCAGGAGCACCCAGTGGGGATGACCAAGCCCACCTCCTCCTGCCACCGCTCCCATCCTGCAGCACCCAGCTTCTCCTCCAACACCCAGACATTCTGTCCTTTTACTTCTTGCCACTAGTTGGGTTCTGGGATCTTCTAATGTGACCAGAAGTTCCAGAGTGTCCCTTATCAAGTCATAGGTCTGGGGTGGGGATTTTTGGGGGAGGGTCAACCATAGCTCATTCGCAGGAAGAAAAACTGTTGGGCGTGATGTATCTCTAAGGCACATTCCCCAAGGTACAGCAGGAGCGGTCCCTGCCACAAAGATCCATTCCCAAGGGACAAGAACTTTACCTCCTGCAGACACCTAGTGCAAAGTCATCTTAAAGCTGCAATCCCATCTTTAAAGACAAAAGCTAAACACATTTGGGGCGTAGGCTTTGTACCAGGTCCTCTAAAATCGACCCAAACAGACAGAACCATACCCTAGCCCATCATCCCCTCCACAAATGACAGACCCTTCAGGCTGGGCAGCTGGTCCCCAAAACAAGTTCAGGGCCACACCAGAGGGACCCTCCTGCATACTTCACACAGGTTCTGCCTCATTGTCCTCCTTATCACCAACCCCAGGAACACAAGCAGGACTCAGGAGCACTTCAGGAAAGGGTGTGTTTTGATCAGAATGACCAATGTTCTCTTTGGCAGTAAACTGGGAGGTGCACATCATTCTACCACACACATACATAAGGAGAAATTCAGAAATACAACATGAAATGACAGAAATTCAATACACTCAACTCTTTTTAACCAGATCTCACACTACAGCTTGTGGCATTTGTAGTCCTGGCTCATGGCTCAGCCTCCTGCAGTTGGAAATAGAGGTGTCCTCTTAAACCCCGTTTTCCATATTCCTCCTGAGGACTGGAGCACCTGTGGCCCAGGTGGCCCTTCCCCATCGCTGCTGACTCTGCTGTCTTTCCTTAGGCTCTTTGCATGTTTTTGGGTCCAGAAGCCTGTGTTCCTGCACCATCCCAGACTCTGCAGACTACTGTGTGCAGAGGCCCATTCCTGGTACTGCCACCCGAGCAGCCCCCAAATTTCCTTGCACTCCTCCTCAGAATAAATCATGATCCTCTTAAACCCATACTGGCACTGGGGACCAAAAGTAGAGCATGGAGAAAGGCCAGTGGTCAAAGTCTCTGGACTGGCTCACGTGTGCACCAAAGACTCTGAGCTCATTCCAGCTCAGTGAACCAAGGAGTTTTGCAAAGTCATGTTTTACACATTGCTAATTTACCGAATTGAAGTTAATTGTCTTGGACACACACATGCTGAGCTTTCATCCCAGCAATGCTGCGATGGAGGGATGTCATAAGGAGGACAAATATTAACCCATGGTTGACTGTTGCAATGCATCTAGCCCAAGGCTTTTTACCACTGCCATCCAATCCAAGTCTACTGTTGGCTCTGCAAAGACATATTTCATTGTACCTCTTTAACATTTTTCAATTTTTTTGCCCCTGCTAAGCCCAAACTCCCATCCCATCTTGCCAGGACCATCTGTGAGTTACCTTTCAAGCAAAGTTTGCAAAAAGCAACCATGCAAAATAAAACTAGAGTGTTGCTGCAGAGCAAACTTTTCCTATGAAACTCATAAAAATTAGTTGAAAATTGTCGCAGGTCCTTAAGTCAGAAGAGGTCAAAGACCACTGAAGTGGGATCTGGCTGTACCTGCCCCTCATGGAGTAGCATAAGAAGGTTTCATTAGCCATTTGACCCAAATACCTCGTACACCTTACAAGCAAAAATGCTTGTCCTAGATCAGTTTGGCTTTAATAACACTTATTGTTTCTAAGAGGTTAAAAAGGCCTGAGAAGGAATATTTCCACCCACTGAGGGATGTAGGCAGCAGCACTGGGGCTGTACCCTGCCAGCACAGCCTGGAGTTAGGCAGCAGTGTCCAAAAATGCACATTTCCTACCTGCCCCTTCAGAGACATAGTTTCCAGGTCTATGACCCAACAAAACACCTCACACTGACTGCAGTTTATCTCAGATTTGCAGAAGATACTGTCTATGCAGGAAAAAAAAGGATGGAAATATTTTCTCAGCATTTTTACCTGGAAGTACTGAAGCTGCTCAGAGAAATGAAATACTGCCAGTGGTGGGTTAGTGGGCAGAGATGAGGAGAGATGGTCAGGCTTGTCACACACCTATGGCTGGAGATGTCAGAACTGCAGGGAATCTACAACCCACCTCCAAAAGGAAAATTCTGGAAGTTGAAAAAAGCCTGTTGGTGTTCAGTTGATTACCCTGCTTCTCTAAACCAGAACCAGGTGAGACTTTAGTTGCCAAAGCTCACCTAACTGCACTCTTACATCACGAGCCAATAGCGTCAAAATGAGCAAAACTCGGCACCAAATTCTGCCTATCAATAAGACAAGCATGGAAACATTTACTGATTTGTAACATGCTGCCCACATGACTGAGCATGGACATAAGTAACTGCAACCTTGAGGTTCCCTCATTAGCAAAAAAGTGTGACCAACTGGATCAGAGACATCACTTTAACTCTGGCATCACTTTATGAGGTCACTTTTAACTCTGTGTTTGTAAGCAAAGCCCTTCACAAAGCTGGGTTTATTCACTTGTTGAGATGTCTTCAGAAAATCAAATGCTTTTACATGCTACATATTTTATTTATTTATTTTTAGACCCCAAATTTTTTTTAGCCTCCTGGACACTACTATGGTGTTATTAAAACATACCCAAGCAGATTCACAAGCTGACCGTGCCACACACCACTGTACAAGTGTGCTTCCACACAGTCTCCTTTGCAAATAAATCTGCCTATCTTTTTTGGCAAAGAGATTAATTACTTTTTATAATTTACCTGAAGTATGAACTATGATATGGATCTACCTTTCTCAGAAGAACTTGGTGTAGCAAACCCACTGGAGATGTGCGATGCCTTGGCTGCGGCGCACTGGGCAGACAGGAGCCCCTGCAGCACTCTCACCTTCACACCTCTGCTCCAAGGTGTAACACCACATCAGGCACTTCTCACTGACTTGGGTTTAGGGCTTCCTTCAAGGAACTCATCCAGTCAGAAAGATTACAGAAAAGGATGAGCCTACCTTGGTTCACCAAAGTTCAAATAAAAAGTCTATATGAAAACCTGCACTTGGATGTTGTACATTGTACAGATGATGCCTCCTTCACTTGTATTTCTTACTTTTATGTCTCTACCTCAAAAGAAAAATACATCATCATGCATGATATTTGCAAAGCTTCACTTTATTCCTTCTTCTACTTGCACATCTCTCCCTTTGCCTTTCCTGGCTTCTCTCACCACTGTAAGTGTTATGAGCCAATGTCTAGGACAATGGGCGTCTTGATGATGCGTGTTCCCAAACTCTGCTGTACTTACAGTCACAACTACACGGTCAAATCATTTCAGAGGATGGGATCAAGGTTACAAGCAGACTGACAAAGACAATGCTTCTACAGAATAAGGAATTATAGCAAGAAGGTCAGTGAGGTTGATTTTAATAGATGTGAATGGCCAAAAATTCATAAAGCAAATGTGATAAAGCAACCTGGAGTGCAAATATCTCATGATTGGTAGACATTAATGAAGAATGATTCATTATATCTTTATTAGAGTATGCATGTTTGAGTCTTCTGGTGACTCATTTTTCTGCCTTAGGTCTCAGTGAGAATCAAAAAGCCATTGCTTTTACATCATGGGGGCAGAAGAACTACTAATTAGTGCAAGAAAGAGAAGCTGTGACTACTGCTTCAACTACCAGTAATAGCTGTAAGGGGACTTGGAGCTATTCACAACTTCATTTCAGTTTTGCTGTTTCTCATCCCTGTGTGCCAGAAGCCCAAGCTCTTGGTCAATGACTGCTGAAGGGAGGGCTGTAGGAAGACCTTACCTGACTGCCTACTCCTGACCCAGCCTGTCCATAACTTGCCCAGAAGTAACACCAAGCAGTAGCCTCAAGCTGGGAAACCACAAAGCACTTTATAAATAGGTGTTCAACCCGCCAGCCCTCTCTCTGTCCTCCCTTTCTCACCCACACAGGCTCCAGTTTCACAGAAGAAACAGCAAATCCCAGAAGAGAACCCACCCGTCCATGAGCACAGGGCAGCTCTGTGTGCTGCCACAGAGGGACCGTTGTCACCCTGCTCCAGCTACCTGGCCAGACCCTTGTCTGTCCCTGTAGCAACACACCAGCCTGCAGCACTCATCCACTCAGGTGTTACTATGCCCAGCCCTGCCTGGCCCTGCTGATCCCTGCAGAGAGGTGTCTGTGCTACTCCCATCACCACCATGCCCACAGAGCTGGACTTTCACTTGTGCCAGCAGCAGGTCTGTGGAGCAGGTAGGCTGGGCACCACCACTTCATGGTTTTTCCAGACAATTCAGAAGCATGACTTCCTACACAGCATGAGGAAGGGGCAGGATAAAAGGGAGTTTTATGACAATACTCTTCCAATACAGTAATAGAGCTTATATTAAAATGGGACCAGCACTGAGATCAAGCTGCAGCTAAGAAACCTGGCACTTATGCCAGTAAAGTCAATAAAACTGGGCATACTTGACAGCAGCAGGGCAGACCTCAGCTGGCTTATACTACTGCCCTATCTCAATTACCTTGGTTTTCTTCATTCTCCCTGTTTATATCCTTAGAGGTGTCTTTCTCCCCAAAGAGGCTTTTTAAAATTGCATTTGCAATTGGAAGCATCATAGCAGTGGAGGCAGTATTACTTAACCACATGGACAGGAAAGACGTTGTCAGCATCATCCCTAAAATTAGTCTGGAAGAGAGAAAAAAGGAAAAGCTGAATTTCTTCAGTTTGGCAAGTTCTCCAGTGTGTTATAGCTGTAGGAAGGAAAGTTCACATACAGAGATAACAAAACTAACAGCAAAAAGGACTTCTGTGACTATCCTGTAACTGGATGGAGCACAATTATGGGGCTGAAGCAAACAATTCTGCTTGTGCTCTGCTGGCCTCTGAGCAAAAGCAAAGGCAAACAGCTGAATAGACTCAATAAGCTGGAAAGAGGAGGTGTGGACAGCCCCTGGTATGGGAGACCCTCAGCCCACCAGAGCAGAGCCACATCCCAAGTGCCTGCAGCTCATGTGCCCCACGGAGACCCCCTGGTCCCATAGTCACCTGGCTGGCTGGACTCCCACCAGCATGAGGACCCGGAGCGCGATCCTGCGGTGTAAATTCCACTCCTCAATGGCCGAGGCCATGATTAAACCACTGAGGAAGAGGAAATTGGTGTCTAAAAAATACTGTGGGCAAACTTTGTTAGATGGGAGGATCCCC